TGGGTGTGCGGGTGTGGGTGTGGATGGGTGTGGGTGTGTGGGTGTGGATGGGTGTGGGTGTGTGGGTGTGGGTGTGGATGGGTGTGGGTGTGTGGGTGTGGGTGTGTGGGTGTGGGTGTGTGGGTATGGATGTGTTTCTTGTAATCGGTCACACCCACACCCCACACCCACGCCCACGCCCACACCCGCGCCCATACCCACACCCACACCCACACCCACACCCTCACCCACACCCACACCCACACCCACACCCACACACCCACACCGACACCCATACCCACACCCACACCCACATCCACACCCACACCCACACCCTATAGGACAGCTTTGAGGACTTATGAGTACGTCCATAGGATAGGCGATAATGACTTATGAGTACGTCTATAAGATGTGCGTTGAAGACGTATGAATACCCGCATAGGATAGCCGTTGAGGACTTATTGTATTTCCGTAGGACAGGTCATGAGGACTTATGGGTATCCGTCATAGGATAAGCCTTATGGACTTGTGGATATTCTATAGGATAGGCGATCATGACTTATGAGTACACTCATAGGATTTTCCTAGAGCACTGTTGAGTAACCCATAATATAGACTTTGAGGATTTATGTGTACCTCCATAGGATATGTCTTGTGGAGTTATGGGTACCCCATATGATAGACGATGATAACTTATGAATACTCTCATAGGATAGGCATTGAGGACTTATGGCAGCTCCATAGAATTCGTCATTAGAACTTATGGTTTCCTATAGGATGCATCATTTTCCCGGGATTCCCATCGTGCTGCTTGGGTTTTAAGGATTCCCATTGTGCTTATAGGGATGTGGAATCTTGTGAATTCATCTCCTAGTCGAGAATCTCCAGGGAGTACCCCAGAAAAATCTCCGGGAACTCACGGCAGGAAGATCCCGGGGATTTACGAGGTAGTCAAGAACTTCCCTGGGATTTATGTTGGAGTCCCTGGGGATTTACTAAGAAGTTCCTGGGGACTTGTCAGGGACTCCCCAGAAATATACCATGAGACTTACGACGACTGTAAACGATCGTACCAACATTTTAATCATAATATTCATCCCTAATGAAATCTCATTATAAAGTCCCCCTCGAAGTCCCCGGGGAATCATGACAGGAACTCCCCCAGGGACCGAGGGGGAGTGGGAAACTCCCCAGGGATCCATTTAGGGACTCTCGACTAGGGACCTTTTCCCCTATGTGTAGCAGCCTTTAAAACTGGTTATCTATGTTCGACGCACTTGAAAATATGATCAGAGTATATTGTTGAAGACTACTTTAGATTCTGGATTTTTTGGAATTTTTGGGATTTTTTGGGATTCTTGGGATTTTTTGGGATTTTTTGGGTTTTTTGGGATTTTTGGGATTTTTTGAGATTTTTTGGGATTTTTTGAGATTTTTTGAGATTTTTTGGGATATTTTGGATTTTTTCGGATTTAAAATCCAAAAAAATCTGCTTTTTCCCCTTGGTCATCTATCCATCTGCTATGTCAAATTGTCAAGTAAAAAGTGTGATTGTGGGCGTGTTTGTGAATCTTCTTTTTACCCAGCCCCACATCACACCCACATCCACAACGTCAAACCTGATTCTCAATCTTATTCTGAATATATTGAAAAAACTTGAAGTCTTATTTACATAACTCAGAGATATATATAGCGAAAATGTGAAAAACTAAAAAATCTCGACTATTTGGTAATTAAATTCATATATCTTGCTCTTAAATCATCAGTTCGAAGAAACTGTTAAATGAAACTTCAAAACAGCTCAATGAAAAAAAACTACAGGTTAGTGAGAGCTTATCTCTTTCTATATTATATTTCGGTGTAGATATTTCTACAAATATGAACAAGATATATCTTACGAAGGGACGGCCTTCGGTGCCACGTGCAGTTTGAAGTAAAAAATATACCAGATTATAGAGCTCAAAGAGCATAGTACATTGTGTAAAGCATTCGTCTCAATACCTAGCTATTAAAGAGCTAGGTCAATTTTGTATCTGAAAAGCTGAAGCTCAACAAAATCATTGTTATAAATGATCGATTTTTATCCACCTGATGTATTACACTAAGCAGTGCATCTTCTCATGTTGGATGGAATCAAATTAGCATGAGCAGATCTTTTCTATATACATATCAATAGATCATTAAATTTTAAGAAAAATAAAACATTTCGTCCGAAAGTATTTTGATGATTGTATGACAAATACTATTTGATTTTATAGATTCAGTCTTGTTTATTTGTATTTTACACGCTTTATTTGGAATAGTATAACATACACAAAACTAATGAAGTTGGTACACAACAAAGAAGTGTTCAAAACCTAAGAACTGTCAGCAATAACTACCAAGATTAAATGCATTTTCGTCACACTTACCAATGACAAGAAAGACCTGCTCAGCTAATTGTGTTCTATCCAACATGAGAGAATATACTGCCGAATACAATACATTAGATGGATATAAAACTCGATCATATAAAACAATAATTTTGTTGAGATTCAGCTCTTTCAAAAAGAGTATGACCTCTGATCAGCAAGTTCTACAACCTCGTATCTTTTTTTTATTTGAAACCGCGTGTGGCACCGGGGATCGTTCGTGTTTATAAGAAAAAGAAACGTAAAGTGAGTTCTATTATGTTTTCTCTCTCATAAATTGCTCGCCAGATAACAGAAAAACAAAATCATGAAAGGAGAGTGAAACGAAACTGTTTGTTTCGGTATGGATATGGGCTTATATTGGATGAACACTCACATCTCACTGACAAAATGACCTAAACATGTATTTTCAGGGAATATTAAAATTTTAAATATTCTTTCGACTTTTCTTAACATATAACGGTCGGAATCGTACAAGAAACACTATTGTGAATCTATTTGGCGATTCTCTTCTAGAAGAAACAGACAAAAAACGATAAGAATCAAAATCCTTTGAAGATTGTTTATGCTACTAGTGTTAAAAAAGTAATTCCATTTTAAATAGTTTATGAAGTTTTGTTCTTTAATAGAGTGTCGTATCTCTTTTGAGAGTAAGTCGAATGAATAAGTTAGATTCATATTCAAATATTTGTTTCAGTGTTATTACTAACCTATGAATATATAAAAAAAACGACATGATTATTTGTGCGTCATAGCTAGATCCGGATGTTTGAACAGTAGCATAGACGTGCCATGCAATGAAGACTTTTTCTCGCTCTACACAAATATGGTGTTAAATATCAGAGAAATCCTATTGATAAATTATTCACTAAAGAACGCAAGTAAGTGGTCACATAATTTTTCTTTTCTAATCCTGTTATAACTAAATGATCGTAAGCAGTTTTAATCGATGAATTGAACTGAGATATGAATAGTTGATCATTTCGCTGTTAGGCCACTCTAGTTTTAATCTCCTGAAGAAAAAAACATTACTACAGAATACAGAGAGAAAAGTAAATCATCACCTTTTTCTCGCATGTCTGTCTCATAGACAGTAAATTTTTTATTCTTTCCGTTTGTAATTATATTGTTTTAACAGAACGATAGAAAAATATTTTTTTCGACATAGTTGTAATTTGAAGACTATTTTTTCTAGTTTTTGTTAGCATAAGATAGCAAAAATAACTACTAATAATATCCTCTCTGAAATACTTGATCAAAGTTATTAAAAAACTTTGAGTTCAATTTTTCTTCATGTATCGTATTTTAAAATAGTCGATCAGATTGTTAATAAAGCGATTCTAATATTGTAGTCTCATTAAAAGTAACATTCAAGCTTAAAAAAATGTGTCAACAAAATAATAAACTCGATTGAAAACATCAATTAGCATACTGATGACACAAAATACAAGTAATTCGCATTCGTGGTTTGAATGAATACAACTTATTGCCACGGTCTGTGTTTCTATAACTATCGGTATTTTTACCATCATGCAAAATCAACAGCAGAATGAACAACACAGAAATGATTTAATCATTGCTGCTGAAAATCGTCTGAAAGATATTGAGATTGCAGATCGTAATCGAGCAAACGATGAATGGCTTGCGGATGATCAAAAAAAAGAAAATATTCTTGTTGACTATCAAAATTTTCTTGCTAATCTACTCGAAAAATATGGCATGGCATTGAATGAAACGTTGACAGCACGTTTTGTCGCTCGCTTCAAAACATTAACAGCACTTGGTCAACTTAATTCTGCATGACGTTCTTTTCTCATTCGTTCCTTGTATGAAGCTCGACTGATTACACTTCGAACTATTCAAAGAAATGATGTAAAAACCAATAATGAATCGTTCGATTCTATGTTGAGTGTTATTGACTTAGCTTCAGCAAACTTATCTGGTTTGTCTCTAGGTATCAACGAAGTTGATAACGATAGGTGCCCTCATGAATGTAATGTCCGTGCGAACACCAATGATGCTATTGTACTATCACGTACTCAACTTACTAATGCATTCTTTCGAAAAACGTATTTTCAAGATTCGTTGTTCGATAAAGCTATTATGGATGATGTTGATTTCAGATGTGCATTCCTTGATGGAAGTAAAGTTAAACTGACATTTGCAAATTCATTATTAGTTCGTGCAAAATTTCGCAAAACATGTGCACGTGACGTTTTCTTTGGATCGGCTAATTTCGAAAGTGTTCAGATGGATGGCATGATCTGTGCGAATTGTGTATATCGAGATGCCACGATGAGTCATGCTCATTTAAACAATATTCATTTCTATCGAGAGCATAGCAATGAAGATATAGTGTATGATGCATACGAAAATATTAATTTCACAGAAACATCACTTGTCGATGCAACATTCGAACGTCTTTCTTTACATGGAACCCTTTTCATAGGAGCAAACATGTCTCGTATACGTATTATTAAATGTAGATTTCATCAAGATCTTCATGAATTTGCATCAGTCTCTTTTCAAAATTCTACATTGGTTAAGTGCCACCATTCAAAATTCATCATTTGATGAAGTTCATTTTGCTGAAACCAATTTAAGTGGAGCATCGATATCTATGTCGAATTTTACATATTCATTTATGATAAATGTTGACTTGATGGGTGCAACATTAGAGATGTGCAATTTTACTGGTGCCAATCTTGCTGGTTGCAAAATGACTGATGCCAACATCTACTTGTCTTACTTTGTCAAAATCAATTTGACTGGATGTCATGGCATAACGGATGCACAATTAGCTCAAGCGACAAGCATTGCTGGTGCAATTTTGCCGAATGGAACACAGGTACCATAAAAATAAATTCATACCATCAAATACATGTCATTTTGATTTTTTTACGAAGAAAACTATTGATACTTATTCTGTATATCACTTGATCACACAATTAAGCCTGTATCTGATAAGAAAACTATACACTTTATTTGGATTAAATATGTAAACAACATGTTGAAGAATAATTGAAAATTCCGTCGGAAAAAGACTGGTTATGGTGAGACGTTTTGTGAAGGGTATGAGTGTAGGTCTCACTCTTTTCTTCCCCCACACCCACCACTTTTTTCTGGATTTGAATCATCCTCAAATAATAGAATTAAGTCGATTTGTTCTAACTGTGTTAAAAAAGTGGCACATGCACATACAGATAGAATTTGATTGAAAATAAGACACTTTTTCTCTATTTCATCGTTAGGAATTTATAAATTCCTTCATAGTGTATGCATAGTAACTTTCCATCTGACATTGATCACTTTTCTATTTATGTATTCAATGATTCATTATCTCACGAGAACTTAAATGAATTAAGCATTTTACAGGACCCGTATGTCTAGTGGCTCAAGAAGTCTAATTAGTATAGAATTATCACAACAAAAAAGAAAACATGATAAACTTAACACGGGTACAAAGGATATATTGTATGAAAGTCAATTAGAGAAAAACCACAAAAAATTAAAGAAAACTTAATGATTAATCGAAATTGAATCTGAAAACCCAAGAAACAATCTATTGGAGAAAAATTTGTCATCGCTCGTCATTTAGTGCTTGGTTATTCTATCGAATCATTGCAGTTCATTATCGTTACTTATGCAATTTCTAGGGACAATAATTCTATCATGATTAGTTTTCTCAAAATTTCTTCTACAAAGATATCTATAACTATGCCAATTATATATCACGCAAATTTTTGTCTTCGGCTGCCCAGGATGAAAACACTAGATGGTCTAGATCTGATTCCAGCAAGTGAATGACAGCATTTAAAGAACATGACATTCAAAGGAAGTAAATAAGATTCTCAGTAGGTCTTACATTTATCAAATTGCAATTCAGTCCGTTGAAAACAGCACTGCATGTAAGAAACAAACATGGTCCTTGTTACCGTCACAATATATCTGCTAATTTTGAGAAAATATACTATTGACATGAACTTCTGTACGAAATAGTCTAATTTGAACACGAGAATGAATTTTGATTACTATTGTAACAGTAGGAGGGCTAAACCATATCCTTCAAAAGAGGAAAATTGTTACATTTGTGACAGAAATGCTGTACTTCGCTCCTCACCTTTCCCCTCTCCTCTCTCCGTCAAAAGAAAACGTCAAGCTGAAAACTTTTTCAGGAAACAGCATCCATTAGTTCAGCCCATTCACAGTAGAGAAAATGGAATATTTACAAGAGAGAAATGACTCATACATTTCTATCTCAACTCGCAGAAACCAAAGAGATTTAGGGACATTTCAACCACGTTACTTTTTCACTCTAGGAAGAAATTCTAGCAGAATTAATGTTTCTTTTCAAGAAAAGTTTTAACTATTCATATAGAAATAATTTGTCTATTCCTACCTCAATAAGCAGAAGTCAAAAAGATTTAAGAAGATTTCAATCTTATTACTTTTTTCATTCTAAGGAGAAATTCTGCATGGAATCAGATTTTTTTTTAGTAGAGATGTTATTTATT